ACGGCAAGAACAATAACTGATTCCGCTTCTCAACATTCACATTTACAAGATACAGGTAAAAAGATATGAAGTTGAAAGTTATGAATGATAACTTTCTTGGCATAATAGCACAGGTATGTGTAAACAGGATGTATTTACAATGTTTTTAACCACTATTGATGACAAACTTGTAATTTTAAAGGTTTTAGTCAGCCTGTTATCTGTGAAACTGTGCCATCTTTAACCCATAAATTCGTGCAAAAGAACATTTAGATAATGATATTCCTATTTTTGATGGCAGTCAACGTCTGATTGAGGTGCTGATATATAAGCTGAATTCATGACAAGTAGTATAAGATGCTATGATGGAGTCTCAGCTATCCAGACTAAACTGGGATGAGCCTTGATGGGCCGAATGGCAAGAGCTTTATCAGAAGAGAGTAGTACATTGTTAACTCGGCGTTACTCGCACCCGCCTTCTGAGGCTTGAACAGACTGTTAAAGCTATGTAAACCCTACTCCTTAATACTGAAATGGACCACATCTGGTCTTGATCTAGCTGAGTTTAAGGTGACCTTTGACACAAAGGATGCATTTACAGAATTTTGTTTTATTCTGTTCGGGAAAAAAATCCATTTTTCAGGTCGCTTAGGCCCGGCACACGAAAACATAATTCTAAGTTCGAGTTTGAATTGCATCTAGTTCGTAGCTCAATATGGCTCGCAAATTAACATATGATGAAGAAATGGAACGATTACGTACTTTGCTAGATGAAGTATCGACTGATGGCGAATCTATCAAAGATCATGATTTACTGCCTGATTGTGATGAAATGTTTAGTTAGCATAGCACATCGTCTGAAAAAGAAATTGAGTCTGATGAAGAGGTTGCTACTGATTCTAATTCGGTTGATTGAGTTATTTGAAAAGAAGGAAAGCAATTTGGAAGGAAACAAAATTTTGTCAAAAAATGTTTGAACTTTATTGTGAAATATTATTTTAAAGTTGCCTGGAAATATTAGAGTGGCAAAAAATGTAATTTCTCCTCTTGAGTCTTGAAGTTTATTACTAGATGAAAATATCTTGAATACGATTGTCACTTGTACAAATATATATGTTGACACTATCATTGACAACTTTCAGAGAGAACATGATGCCAAAAGAACAAAACTCTCCGAAATTAAAGCCTTTATTGAATTATTATATTTATGTGGTATACATAAATCATCCCATGTGCATGTGAGAGATTTATGGCACACTAATGGAATGGGAATAGAAATATTTCATAGGACCATGTCCCATAATCGTTTTTTATTTCATATGAAATGCAAAAAATTTGAAAATGTTAGAAACAGGCAAATGAGAAAAGAAATGGACAAACTTGCCCAAATAAGGTATGTATTTGACTCATTTGTGCATAATTATCAGAAGTTTTACACAGCTGGATCATATGTTACAGTTGACGTAAAACTTGAACCATTTAGAGGGTGTTGTTCATTTCGACAGTACATGCCAAAAAAGCCAGCTAGGTATGGAATAAAGATTTTTGCTCTTGTTCATGGAAGAACTTTCTTTCCATGTAATTTAGTATATTCTAGTTCAGATAATTTTAGGAAGTTTTTGCATGCTGTTAAGAAATTTTGTTTGACTGAAGATGTGTGAATTCGTAAATAAGGTAAGTGGATATTTCCTTTGTGTAGTGCAAAAATGAATTTCCTTTTTTATGTTATTTCATTGCTTGATTTAAATTATAGTTTTTTGAGATTACATATTTTTTTTGGCTGCTCCTTTGACTTTTGAAGTGAAAATAGTTCGATGTGTACACGGATAAACTCAAGGGAATGGCAAAGCCTAGTTTGTGCAATTCTCTGATTTTTTTTTTTTTTTTTTTTTTTTTTTTAATGTAATGTAAAAATAGGTTGATGTGAACATGAATAAAGTCAAGGGAGTGTGCAATGCCATTTTGTGCAATTCTGGGATTTTTTTTTTTTAAGTGAAAATTGGTTGATGTGTACATGGATCAAGTTTGTGCAAGTCTTTGTTTTGTTATTTTGGCTTTGTGTAGCAGCGATTTTTCACGCAAAAATCAGCACTAAGAGGTACCCGTAAATATACTTTTACCACAGTTACTTACATCCATTTAATATGATTCAAAGTAATCCCCATCAGCCGTAATGCACATCTGCGCTCGACTGTACAAATTTCGGAAAGAAATTTTAAAGTCCTCTTTAGGAATGCTCTTTAGGAATGAAAGTGAACTTACAGTTTTCTTGATGGCTTCAACATCCTGAAATCTTGTTCCCTTCAGCGAATCTTTCAGCTTAGGAAACAGAAAAACGTCTGTGGGTGCTAGGTCTAGAGAGTATGGTGGATGCTGCATTTCAACGACACCAAGCTGTTCGAGAGCAATGGAATAAAATACTTCTTCTGATACTAAAAAAGGCTTCATTGTCTTGGAAATTATGGTGTATAAAGATAGTGAAGAATAAGGGTTATCAAACAGAACATTTAAAACATAAAAATTTTAGCTCACATATTTCTGTTATTACAACAAAAATCATCTAAGAAATGTGCAAACAGCCTCTGTATATATTGGATTTATTTATTGGGAATTCAGATACACCTCAAGCATGTGCAGAATACAGGGGTAAGTATACCTATACAGTACAAAGTCTGTAATCCGGACGTCCATTATCCTGACCTCAAAGTTCCAACCTTTTTTTGTATGCTTTACGCATGCGCATTTAATGTATAGCGGACGGTATAAGCTAGGCTAAAATTAACTTTACTGATTCTAAGGCATTTCAGTTAATGTTGCAGATTGCACTATTCCTTAATCTTCTATTAGCAATTACAGGACTTGAACAGTGGAACTTTGTAAAAACAAGAATTCTATTTGTTTATAGAATTAGAGAAAAGTTTAGCACAAAAAAATGAAGCAGCTAAACACTTACATTGACAGAAATATTTAATAACGTAACAAATAAATATTAAGCTTTTTTATTGTAAATTTTGATACCTTTAGCTCATTTGCTCTTTATTTCATAAATTATGGTTTCAAATTTTTAATTGTATAATTTCTGCATGCCATCTTACCAGATTTAAATTGATGATCTATAATCCGGAATCGAAGTCTTGACGAGTCCAGATTACGGACTTTGTACTGTATAAAATATATAATTCAAGCTTAACTTTGTCAGCATGCAACAGAAGCATGATAAAATTTAGCAGAACAACATGTCTTTAGTTGTCAATCTCATGATACATCACTAACAGTGTATAGCAGACATTTGCTAAGCTTCATGACAATGAATTTGAAGGTTTCGACATATCACAAACAAAAAGCGAAACTTTCCAATTAACGGAATTTGTGAAGAATGTGGAAAAGTGGTACTTAAATGATGTTATACAGTCAAAAGTCATATAGATCATCAGTTTAAATCTCGTAAGATGGCATGCGACATTTAAAATTAAAATATTTAAAACCTAATTAATGAAAATAAAGAACAATTATGAATTAAAGGTACAAAATTTACAAAAAAAAAAAAAAAAAAAAAAAAAAAAAAAAAAACACTTAATATTTATTTGTTCTTTTCTTAAAATTTCTTTCCATGTAAGTTGTTTAAGTTGCTTGTTTTCTGTGATCTTTTTTTAATTATATAAACAGACATAATTTCTCTTTCAGTTACAAAGTTTTGCTGCTCCAAGTCCCGTTAATGCTGTGCCGGAATACCGACTAACTTGTCAAACGAAATTTTCGTTTTCACACCTCTCGTCACAGTCTTCAGGCTTATCATTTTTGGAGCAGTTCACTTTTGTTTGTGGACATCGAAACATACTTTCGTTTTGTAGATCCTTTGGAAGTTCAGCATCGGAAATTCTATTGACATAACTTTCAGGTTTACTTTTATAAATTGCTCTTACAGTCTGCAAAAAAAAATCATAAGCGGGATCCAATCGAAGATTATGGAACAACGCAATCATTAACATTAACTGAAGTAGATAATTAGAAATTAGCTTTTTACTACACCGTCCGTTATACATTAAACGCGCAGGCGAAAACGTATTCTGCACTTGCGCACACGCATATGCGCAGTAGTCAAGGTTTTACGCGACGCGTAAGACGCCTGTTCCAACGCGGCGCATGCGCAGAAAGTTTTTAGCTTTGAGATCCGGATTATAGATCATTCCGGATTATGGGTGTTCGAATTAACGACTTTTGACTGTAACAGAAGTTTTTCATTGCGATGACAATCTCCCATTCCTCAATCAACTAATGGATAGCAAAACCTGTAGTATGGTTTAAATCCAGAAACTGTCACTACCAGTAGTTAAAGTGGCAGACAAGTTGTTAGGAACAAAAAAATTTCGATTTACTATTTAGTGGGGAATTTCGATGTGGTAATTACTAACAAGAACGAGAAATTATATCCATTTATAGTATTAAAACTAAAGCAATAGCACAAGAAACAAATGCAAATTTAACACCTTCCATTGAAAGAAATGTTTAATAAAACAAAGAAATGTTCAGCTTATTTCTTTATAACCGGCAAGCTTAAGAAGGCAAATAGAAAGGAAAATAATAATAATAAATGATATTGCAATGCCAGATGTTAGTAATGAAAGTTACTGAAACAAGTAAAGTAGTAAAGTTTTGTCGAAGAAGTAGACCATGATTTCAATGATAAACAGCTTTTCTGATCTTATTTCTGAAAGAATTTTAAACAATAGTTTAGAATATTCTCAGAATCAAAAATATATCCATACATACATCGATCTATTTCTGAACCTGTTCAAATAGCAGCTATATTTTCAGAAAACAGATACTAAAATATATATAAACTCAAAAATAAATGTACATAAAAAAAATTTCTATATATATATCCTTCAAATAAACAGATATATAAAATATATCATATCTGATGCATAAAATATAATAAATAACTGTAAATTATACTTAGCAATGGTAAAATTTGAACCCATAATCAAGCTATTAAAAACAAAATTAATAATTAAAAAAAAAACTATCTTATAACATTTTATTAACATCTAAACAAACCCTTAGAGAAATTTACACTTCATTAAATTTTCTTTTCTTTTTTGGAGATTCATCAAAATCTTTACTTTTATTGTCTTTAGTTTCGGGAACTTCCTTTTTAAACTGCAAAAGGGGAGTACCTTTCATACGAATATCTTCTTCCCATTTTTTAATTTGCTCTCCATCTGTAATTTTGAAAGTCACCATTCTTCTTTTCTCAGAAATAAACAAGCTGTTTTCTTCAATCTTTCCTAACAAAGCTTTAAGCTGTTGATTATACTTAGACACTTTACACTGTTTAATGAAATCTTTGATGTCACGAACAGCTTTTAAAGCCAAATCGGGAAAACCAACAGAATGTGAATATATTTTTAAATATTCTACTAGCAGAGTACACACTTCTCCTACACAAGCATCTTTGTATCCAGCTTCAGTTAACTGGGAATTTGTGCCCTTTAATGAACATGAAAAATCTACAGGTTTGATGCTAAATGAAGATTTTTTGTTGTAATCTACGATTTTCAAAACATCAAGAATAAATTCCATAACAGGAATGAAAGTACCAGTTTCCTTTGATATTTCTATAAGACCTTTTACAAGATGGAATCTTAAAGGAACATATTTTGCAGTTGGTATCAAAGTAATAGTTCCTATTATAGTCTGAATTAATGGATATTTAAGAGTCTTTATGGCTTCTTGATTATGGAGGCGAGACACCAAATGAGACCACAGTAGAAGACAGTGCACATACTGCCAGTTATAAACAGTTTGAAAAGATTCTTTCTTTTTAGTTGTGATAGCATTGCGAAGATGTATAGCAAGCTGTCGCACAAAAACAAAGGTATGCTCGTATGCAGCTTCTGGATTTAAAGCATACAATTCTGTCAAAGAACGTTTCATGAAATTTATCAATGGCCAGGTAGATTTTGACGTAAATTTGCAATTGCGTACATATGCAAAATACATATGCTTTAACACCAGCTCAAAATATTCCTTCGGCAAAGATTTTCTAGTACGAACAATAATTATTAAGCTTAATACACGAACAGTTTCTTCATCACTACACCAAAATGTTATCATTTTCTTCAGTAAATGTTTACACAATTTCATGAATTTCGAGAAGAAAGGAACCAAATGCACTACATGTTTCAGAAACAATATTAATTTTGAAGATTCTTTCAACAATGAAAGAAGTTTCACCGTATCAATTAAATATGATCTCACCATACTCTGAACTTTTTTCCAGTTTTTTGACTTCGATGGATCCATTTTCTTACTACTTTCAGATGACAACTTCAATATATTATGCAATGCGGGCACAAGATCAATAAAACACAATTTTACTACATCATTAAATAATTCGCTATGAGTCATATCAGTCTTTTTGTCAACACCATCCGCTTGCTGAACCGCACTTTTAAAAGCTGATATAAGTTCCTTGCATACATTAATAGTCGGAGAGCTTCTAATATGTTCTTTAATATAAGCCAATTTTTCGGGTGAGATTTTTTTCTCGCTTTTTAATTCCTCGGCTGAATTATCGTCTTCAGATATGTCCTCTTCAAAATCTCCTTTTTCATAGCCAGGATCTTCAAAATTTAGTAAATCTTTGTCATTTGCTTTCAGAAATTCATAAAAATCAGGATCTTTGGTCTTCAGACACTTTAATGCTGCTGCATGAGTAGCAACATCATCTTCCTCAGATTCATTATCGGACATGCTGATTTTTTCTGGTTCTTCCTCTGACCTATAACCCGACATATTGACTTGCTCTAGTTCATCGGCTGACGCATTAATCTCTTCGTCTTCTTTGTTAGACGTTTTCATCTTCTATACAAAGCCGTCTCTACAACACGTGAGCCAAAGCACACGAAATCAAAAGCACTTATTCTACGCATTAAGTCTTTCTGCCGGGAGGACGAGAAAAAAGGTTATGTTACTAAATTTTAGAAGAGATATATTACAAAAATTATCCTTCTTTTACACACAGATCGAGTGTCAAGATGTAGAAACACCTTTTTACTCGACTTCTGATAAAAATCAGGTGGGAGGAGAAAGAGTAATGTGGGAGGCGGAAAAGGAGAGTCAGGTCCGCGCTAGCGTCGCCGAAAAAAGGGGGGGTAAGTTCAATGTCGTTATAAGATGCAGCTGCGGGTGGTAAACTGCAGAGTCAGTTTAACGTGAATGAGTCAATTAAGGTTGTAATTCTTATGAGGGTAGGATGTCACATGGGTATCGATGTTTTTCACTGGGATGCGGGGAGTCTCTGAGAGTGCTAATAAGGCTATTACTGTGGGTTTGTACTGAATAAAAGAAGCTGACCGTTAATCGTTTAATATACTCTTGAATAAGTTCCATTTGAAGGTCTCTGTGAATGTAGATGTTTGGAATATACCAAGGAGCATTGATAATTTCTCGTATAATTTTATTTTGCAGAATTTGTAATTGTTTAAAATTGGTTTTAGCTGCATGTCCCCAGATCGGAGCTGCATAAAGGAGGGCTGGACGAAGTATGGAGAGATATAAAATTAATTTGTTTGTAGTAAATAAGTTGCTTTTTCTACCAAGAAGAGGTCGCATAGTAGCTGTGGTGATTTTAAATTTTTGTATTGAGCGGAAGTGGGTTCTGAAGGTAAGTTTTTGGTCAAGGGTGACAACAAGGTATTTGGTTTCATTAATCCAGTCTATTTCATCGTCAACTATTTCAGGGGGTGGAGGATAGTATTTCATGTTTCCTTTACGGAAAATTATTGCCTTAGTTTTATCAGTGTTAATTTTAATCCTCCAAAGGGTGAGCCATTTGTCCAGCTTTATGAGGTAGTTTTGGAGCGGTTTCTTACGGCGATAACTGTGCAGGCTTTAGTAAGTATGGCGGTGTCATCGGCAAAGAGTGCAAGATGAACAGAAGGGTCTTTAGGGATGTCTTGTGTATAAATATTAAAAAGGTACGGCGAAAGTGCCGACCCCTGTGGGACACCAGCATTGATTACTCTTGTGGTTGGAGTAAGCAGTACCGATTTTGATTCTGAATGTTCTGTTGCTGAGAAAAGAGGCCATTAAGCGATTAAAATCATCTGGAAAATTGAGAGTGATTAGTTTGTAAATAAGGCCTCGATTCCATACCCTGTCAAAAGCTTTCCCAATATCGAGGAATATAGCACCGGTCGGAATCTTGCAGTTGTAGCCTTCAGTGATAATGTTGATAACTCTAAGAAGTTGGTGGCAAGTGCTATGATGTTTACGAAAACCGAATTGTTCTTTTGGGAGAAAATTCATGGAAGGGTGAATTTTTTGGATGTAGAAAAGTAGGATTTTCTCAGTAACTTTAAGCAGATGGCTAAGTAAACTGATAGGGCGATAGTTCTGTGGAAGGTTGGATTTTGTTGCAGTTTAGCAAAAACAATTATTATAGCTTGCTTCCATGTGTTAGAAAATGAGCGAATTTGATAATGTTGTTGATTATCTTAGTTAGGCAGGTAAGAGCATTGATCGGAAGATGTTTCAGTGCTTTGGTCGAGATGCCATCGTGCCCTGGGGTTTTCTTCGTTTGTAAAGAGCTGATGGTGTTGGCAACGATTGTTGGGGTAGTCAGGAAAGTGAAGTTGTACGGAGCAGGGGTATTAAGGAAGTTATTGACCACCAGGCTGACCCGTTGAATATGGTTATTGTCGTACTGAGTGGGGTTAAGAGTGAATGTATCTTTCATATAGTCCGCAAAATATTTAGCTTTATCTTCTTCTGTATATGAAATTCCACTAGGTCCATGGATAGGTGGGATAGGTTTATAAGGTTTCTTGGATTTGCGGGAAATGTCAAATAGGGAATTGTCCTCTATAGCTAGGTTATTTAGGAAATTGGTCCATTTTTGGTTTTTGAAGTTCTTGATTCTTCTGTTGAAATTTTTTTTTTTTTCATAGAGTTTAGTTTGTGTTTGAGTTGTGGATCTCTGGTGGTTTGCCATCTTTTACGGATCCGGTTTTTCTCTTTAATACTATTTCTTATATCGGCAGGCAGGGGGAGAAGAGGCTTGTTCACATAAAATGTATTGGTGGCTTCCTTTAAAGCAGAATTGATGCAGTTGGTAAATTTTGAGACTTCGTGTTCTAAATCTTCTTTGTTGTTGATGTATGGGTTTCCTTGTATGGAGTTATTCAGAATTTGAGAGTATTTGATCCAATTTGTAACTCCTATACTTCTGTCAAGTGAGGGGAGGTATTTATTAATGGGGTTGTGGTCGGAAGAGAGGGCTGGAATTACAGAGATATTGCATGTGTTAGTAATGTTATTTGAGATGAAAAAGTCAATTGTGGTGGCGCTATTGTACCCGTAATGGGTGGGCTCGTCTGAGGCATGTATGTTATAATTATTTGATTGAATGAGTTTAAATATGTCGTTTCCTTTTTTGTTAGCAGGTTCTCGGTTCCAGCAGGGGTGTTTAGCGTTGAAGTCCCCTCCGACAATGGTAGAAGTATTAGAATTAAGAAGGTGAATCAATTCTTGTGCGCTGGGATTATTATTTGGTAGGATGTATATATTAGAAATTTTGAATTGTTTATGTTCTATTGCAATTTCTATTGTGTTACTTTCGAAAGTGGTGAAATGGGATTTAGAATTTGAGAGTGTTTTTATGCTCCTTTTAACAAATGTGATGATGCCACTGCCTCTTCCTGTTCTCCACGATCCTGTACGGTAAGGTGTTATAATTAGCATAAAGTACTTTGAGTGCTGGTCTAAGGTGAGTCTCTTGTATGAGAATTAAGTCAGGTTCAATTTCAATAATAAGGTTGGATAATTCATCTTTTTATGGTAAAGACCGTTTGCGTTCCAAGAGAGGATTTTTATGTTGCACCTATTCTTGAATTTATTAGAATTAAAGATGATTTCCTATTTTTTCAATTATTTCGACTACTGCGATTATTTTATCAAGAGGTGATTTCTTGGTTTTAATGATTTTGAGTCTTCGTATCAATATTGTCCAGATTGTTTTTAGCGAAGAGAAGTCGAAGAGGTCTGACAGGGAGGATTCTGCAGCGCTGGTAGTTTCTTTTGTTGGATTTTCGTTTTGAATGGAGCTTTGACCTAGATTTTCGTTACTGTTTGATGTCAGCGGAGGAAAGTCTTGTCTTCTGTTAGTCCAGGGATTGATTGCGGGTGGAGGACTGGGTTGGAATTGAACTTGTTTCCTTTTGGTCTGGCCGCGTTCTATAGGTTAATGATTGCCTCCGCAACCGACGCATACCCAGTCTCTGGTGCAGAGCAGGGAACTGTGAAAAATCCCTGGCATCTATAGCATTGTGGAGGGCCAGGTTTCTTGTGTAATGATTCTATTGATACGTTCATATAACCTATGCGTTTGATTTTGAATACTTCATTATTTTCTTTTGATTTTGGTATATGTACTAAGAAAAGCGGCATTGGTTTATTTTCTCTTCTGTTTCTTAATAGTGTAATAAAGTTAACCTTGAATCCTTTGTCAAGTAGTTCTTGAGTGATGGTTTGGGGATCTGTGGTGATGGGTGAGTCTTTTATTATCACCTTTAAAACTTTATCTTCGGGCAATAACTAGGTGTGGGCCTTAAGCTTTGTTTCTTCAACTATCTTGCGAATGAATCGATGTGATTCAGAGTCTGCAGGCTGTATTTCAAGGCGGCGTCCTTTTAAGGTGCCAGTTGTCTCTTTTCCGGTTTGCTTATTTAAGTTTTTTAAGAATTCATCCACTTTTGGTATGTCATCTACGACAATAACGGGCACTTTATCAATTCTGCTTGCTTTTGGGCTGGAGTTTGGTTTTCTATTTGCGGGAATGGTATCACTTTTGTTTGGTTGGTCTTTTGCGGTGGTAGTGATCTGAGTGGCTGATTCATCTTCGTTAGTTCCAAATGCATGTCGTCTATTTGGTTCTCTAATTGTTTATATTCGATTGCTGGTTTTGAGGGAAGGCTCCTCATCGGAGTCAGAATACTGTTTTGTCTATGGCGCTTTTTCTCTTTTTCTTTGAAACCACTAGTGGATTGAAGTATGTCGCAGAAGTTTTTAATCTCTTCAAATTGTTTAGCGATCTTGTCGTTAGAGGTTTGTAATTCGTTTATTTTTGCATTGGCTGTCTCGTTTTCCTGTGAAGTGTCTGGTGTGCAAATATAGAAAAATAACACTTCTCTGACTCCAATGGAACCAATATTTTATTCCTTACGAAGTTATAGATTCTTATTCATAAGATTTATTTACATTTTACATGCACGTTCAATCGCGTGACAGAAAACCGAAGTTTGTTTACTTCGTTCTTCGCGGAGACTAGAAAGTGTTGCCATTCCGCTTTAACTAAATTTAATTAGAAACTTGACGGAACTGAAGCGACACTACACACCCTCCTTCCTAGTGACAGCGATTATGGAAGATAATCTTTAAAGTGACTGGGGAACTTCACATGTCTGCCGGTTCTAGTAGTCTTGGTTTCATGATGAGTTTCTGAATTTTCTTCAGTGTTCTTGAGTGCAGGTGTTTCCCCAAGTTCCGCTTTCTTGGAATGGGAGTTTTGGAAAGGAATATCAGAATCTTGCACTAGGAAATATGGCTTTAGTCTGTCTATTGAAACTCTTTTAACTTTTCCTTGGATTTCAATATCGAAAGTACTTATCCTTTCTTGCTCTTACAGGATACGGTCCAAGATAGACAGGCTGTAGCGACGAATTATTAATGTTGTTGTATAAGAATACGTGAGAAACAGTTGGAAAGATATTTAGAAACAAAGACTGTTCTATTTCCATGGGTGGTGGTAGAACTTGGCTTCATAGCTCTTATTATTTTCTGAAGGTTTTGAGAAAATTCAGACTGTTTCATATGAGGTACTATTGAAAAGAATTCACCAGGTAATGCTAAAGGGGTTCCGTATACAAGTTCTGCGGATGAGCAACCTAGGTCTTCCTTGATGGCAGATCTTATGCCTAAAAGAATGAAAGGCAATGCTTCCAGCCATGATTTTGATTCGAGTAGATGACATTTGACACTTGCTTTTAAAGTTCGGTGTTGTCTTTCGATCGGGCCATTGGCCTGTGAATGGTACGCAGTTGTAGTGTTTGTATGAAAACCAAGATATTTTCCTAAA